ATTTAAAAAAGAATTATATTTACTTTCTTGATTATAATTTGACAGTTGCTTATCTTTAACAATAACAAAATAACGCTTATAAATATCCACTTCACAATAAAATTAAATATACTAAAATTAAATTGTTTCTGCGCGATTGGGACTCAGAGTAGAGTGGAGTTCAAGGTTTCTTCCATTACTTTCAGCTTGTTGAGGTTCTTTTCCTTCTGATCTTTATTATGCTTGTGTTCATGTTTGTGTTATGCTTGTGTTTCTTCCTTAACCTAAAAAAAAATAATAATTTAATATTCTTGCGTTAATTTCTTCCTCCTAAACAAAAATATTTAAAAGTACAACAGATGTAACAGTACATTTTAAATCGAATATTGGAGGAGGCAAATTAGAAACCTTTTTGGTTTCAAAACATTTAAATTTTCTAAAAAGTTTCGGTGTCATAAGGTGGGGAGATACAATTAGACAGTTCGAAAAAAAGCATTTTTCAAGATTTTTTTCCCGTTATGTTGCTCTGACGTGTACATATATAGGATGTTTCGATTATTATAGCCATTTGATTCGTTCAAGTTGTATTTTATCTAGAACTGTATGTAAAGGATGATTTCGTACAAAACCAGTAATAATACCGGCAGTAGTACCAGTAGTACCAGTGCCTCTTTTCTATTTCCAGTGGTACCAGTGCCGCTTTTCTGTATCCTCTTTTTCTAATAATTCTAATTCTAATTTTATTCCTTTCATTATAATTTTTTGTTTTTTGAGGCCTACTGATACTACTAGTACTACTACTACTACTGGTACTACCAGTAATAACAACGGCAGCACTGCTAGTGCCTCTTTTCTATTCTCTTTTTGTAATTTTATTCCTTTCAATATAATTTGTTTGTTTTTTTGTGGCCTGCTGGTACTACTGGTACTACAACTACCTGTAATGATAGTTAGTAATAGCAGTAGTACCAGTACCTCTTTACTACTACTACTACTGCTGCTCTACTACTACTAGTACTACTACTACTACTACTACATAAACTCCCTTTGTTCACCCTGTTTGGCCGGCTTCTCAATTAATGTCAATTTCGCGATCTTCGGGATTTCAGGAAATATTGATACCCTGTATAATGTATGTAATAATTTCTCTGTTATTGTAATGATGGAAGCGACTCTTGCGCCTCAAGAAATGCCTCGCCGTCGAGCAATTAGCGTTCGTTTCCATAAGCCAGAATGAAAGTTGCGAACAAAACAAACGGCTGCGAAAACAAAAGCGACACAGTCATTGTTCCCCGTTTTCTCCGCTTCTCCTGCAATTTACACAGAACAACGAAGGTGCGGTATTCGGGCTTTAATGGAATAAAAATCAATAAACAGGCAGGTCGCGTGACAAACCTAATAATAAATGAACTAGAAACGGCGGGGTTCCCCCTCCTACGGCGCTGCGTGGAGAAAAAACGACGGACAATTATTGTTTTAATATAGCCAGACATTGTAGTACACCGTGGGCACGGGCGCCGCTCGGGGGGCAAGAGAGGCAGGCCCCCTCCATAGAATTGCGTATAGATAGCTCTAGAGACGGCCAATTCACTTTGTTTTGAGGCTCCCTGTATACGCGGTTTTTTGTTCTTAGTAAAATAATTTATTCTGATGTTAAGTTAGGTTATCTTTTTACGGGAAAATGATTCCTGTTTGACCCACATCCCCCATACTCGTAGTATAGTGAATTGAATGTCCGTAGACATTAACAAGGACACAACAGTAAATGAGATACTTTAAATTTTAATTTTTTAAGCTATTTGTTTAGATAATCCCATTATTATATTATTAATTACACAATATACAAATTTAAAGCATATAACCAATCTTCATTTACTGAAAAAGTGTATGTGCTCTAATTTAGAGTAGTCGGTTCATAGCAAGTTATAAAAACCCGCTCACAATTATTTTAATGCTACAATAATGCTCGGTATTTTGCTCGGTAGGAATAATGTACATACTGAAAGTTATATTCGTCCATATTAGATAATGGCATCTTTCCCGTAATGCATACTAAAGTAATACAAACTGTAATGGCTCTATTAAGCTATTATGCGACTGCGAGGTATATTATTAGGCTGAGGCGAAGTTCATATCGACTTGTTTAGGTATAGTGAGGATTATCACTAATGGCCAACTAAAATCCACTATAAAAAATACCTAAAGATATATTTTAAATGCTCTAAATTTTGGTTATTATAATTATAATACTGTTGGAAATTAATAAAAACAAGATTTTTGACGCGACGCGATAATAGCTAAGTTTTTTAAAATATGTTTAAATATTTTACCATAAGAAATAAAAAGTGTATCTTAATTTTTGTAACAACTTCATTCGAAATAAATTATTATACAGCAAATTATATACCATCTATCGATTCCACACAGCAACTCATGTATTTTATTCGAAATTGCCGCTGTCGCAAATTTACAGAAAACTGTTGTGCGTTTTGTTCAAAATATCGCAGTACTGTGTGTGCCTCACTTTCGAAGATATCTGGCCTCGTCCCCCAACAAAAGCAGCAGATACGCCGTTGAAAAAGTCTCGAATAAAACATAATATAAAATAATGGTTCCTAGAAGTAGAAACATTAACCTAATATATGTTTTCCGAGCCCCATACGATCTCTCTCCCCTGGATATGTTCCGCATATTTCAGAGTGGTAACGACGCCATCCTTGAAAGCTCGGCGTGAATCACAAAAAAGTTTTCGCCAATAACAGCAAAGCGATGTGCTTCTAAAAATGTTTCTATCATAAGTTTAACGTCGCGCGAATTTTCGTTAAACTAACATGTATCTATGATTTGCCATAATTACGGCTGTTTGATTGACTCACAAGACTGAAAGTCGTATGTGAAATTCAAAAACAATTATAATAATAGGTACCATACGAATTATTGGAAAGAAGATTTCACAACACGAGGCAGTAAATGAAATGTACTTTTAGCAGGATATTTACTGCTTCAATAAATAATTTAACTGTTTTATAAGTAAATTTATATGCATATATCGGGAAATTTGGTTCTAAACTACACCATACATTATTTTTATCTGTGTTTGATTACATGTTTCCAGATTCGTAACAAATCTGTTGTTTTGTTAATGATTTTATTACACATTATTCAGTAAAATGATGTCGTTAATAATGCTAATCGGGTATATTTACAACAGTTATTTGGAAATATCGCCTGTATCAATGTTGGCTTGATAACTGTTTAATATGCGATGATGGGGTACGTCAACCATTCATTTTACCGATGGCGTAGTTACATTTTAATAATGTAGTAAAATCTTGACCCGTATCTTTCTTATATTTGGCGGACAATCATGACATCTATTATCTGGAAGTTCAACTAATATAAAAGTCAATGTAAGAAGTTTATTAGTGCTTGCATAGTTCGCATTAACTTGCATTGTGGAATAGAATTCGCTACATTTTTATTTGACACGAACACCTCATTGCTTCTACTTTTGAGAAAGAAACAGGGTTTGTAATTTATCCACCGAATTTATTACGTGGAAAAATTATCATCTGGCCATAAGGCACGTAGTTGATTGCTGTCAAAGATACACATAATTTATTGCCCTAAAATTTGCATGTCATTTTGGCGCACAGATCGACCCTACAAATTAGTCATTCCTAAACCCACTATGACCTTGAGAAGGGAACGTGACACGTGACACGGTGACACACAAAACTAAGCTACTTCCCTTTCCTTGGATAAATTGTATGACATAAATGATAAAATGTACGTCAAATAAGCTCCAAAAAAAATCCTCTTATAATAATCCCGATCAGTTTAAAGTTGTATTAATCGGACAGAAACAACGCCATCTGTTGTTTTCAAAACCATAGACAAATATAAATCGCAAATAAAACATTTCCAGTTTCAATTAAAATTCAGAAACAGTTGAAAATATTCTTTTCATTTTCATAATGGAGTCACTAAGAAACTTAACAGGAGCTTTGAGCGGTGTTCATTATTTTTTAATATTCACATTTCGCTCGGGTTATCGCATGACGCGTCCTATCTGAACTGCGAATGTAACAGCAGCTTACCTTTCTCCTACAACGACGTAAGCGTCCGCAGGAGGTATTGAAATGGCAGGGGTGTTATCACCCCTCGTTACTAACCCATGCGAGAGGCTTCTAATTTCATGAGGTCACGCAAGGCGCCGTCTATTTGGCGCCCCTGTGGGGCCTTGGTGTGTTTCTTTTTAACATTTTTACAAGGCGTGCGAAACACGTCAGCTTATAGTCCATGCTCTGAATGAACTCCTAACTAACATATTTTCGATTAATTTATGCGGAAATAAATGCTTAAGTGTTTACTTACGCCTAATAATTTCAATGACAACAAAATCCATTATTGTTTATAACAATTTATTACCAACAACGGTCACATATTACTTTTTTTAATTTAAATATCTGCTTTAAATAAACAAAGGTATGATTTCCTGAAAAGTTTACTAATGCTTTTATTTATAGAGATCTGATAAGAACGGAAATATGAAAGCAGAATACATTTCCATAAATATATATGATTATTTTGCATGATTTGCAGCGTTGTTTGTATTGAATTTATAAAGCTTGGTAAATGTTCGAGATTAACAATCGCCGTACAAATAAATTTAATGTTAATCACAATTTTTTCGAAATTTCAACATCCACAGTTTTAGTGAACGTACTGTACTACCAAAAGTTGTAATCCATGGAATCATACTATAGGACCAGGCCGTGTTCTTTAATTCAACATTTTGGATTCAAATGTGATTGGTCAATTTAAAAAATTCTAATCTCTGATTGGCGCCACAGAATCCAGCATTCCCAAATGATAAATAAATGAACACGACTTTACTTGTGACGTAATTCATTATCAGTTTCAGTATGTAAACATAACCCAACTTCTTGAAATCTGATTTTACATATTATTTGATTGCTTTTAGCGTATGGAATTTTCAATGGCAACAATTTTTGCAGGTTCTTGCTGGAAACGTGAATCCATATCTGGAGTCCAAAAATCAGTTGGACCCTCCGCTATGGGCGAGCAAAATCCGATTCTACCCGTACAGCTATCACAAGAGAACAGTCTGCATGAGAGTGGAGCTATATGGATGTCGATGGACAGATGGGATAGTCAGTTACACTATGCCTCAAGGGGACAAGAGGGGTTCGAACTGGGAATTTTATGATTTCGGGTAGGTGCCTGTTCCAATGATTTTAATTATCATTCATCGTTTACTATGCTTTATAGATACGATGGCCACTGGGACGGTACTGAACTAAAAAACGGCCTAGGCCAACTTATCGATGGTAAATTTGGCCACGACGATTTCAAGACGGACTTCTACGACGTCCAAACCTGGGTGGGATGGAAGAACGACACTAGACACAACAAGCCTATCGAGATCAAGTTCGAATTCGATAAAGTACGCGAATTCTCCTCTGTACATATTTTCTGTAATAATCAGTTCACCAAAGACGTACAAGTATTTTCCATGGCCAAAGTCATGTTCAGCATCGGCGGCAAGCGCTTCAACAAGGGCGAACCGATCACCTACGAGTACATCGAAGACAGAATCTTCGAGACGGCTAGAAACATTACTATCAAACTGCACCATAGAGTAGGACGCTTCGTTAAGCTTCAGTTCTTTTTCGCTTCAAAGTGGATGCTGATAAGCGAGATTTCCTTCGATTCGGTTGTGGCGCACGGAAATTTCACCGTCGAGCCCGAACCTACGAGCGTTCCACAGGTCAAGTCGCATAATGGCGACAGACACGATCATAAAATTGAAATTCCAGTGCCGAACGACATCAACGAGCCTGCAGTTATAGCGATCATACTTATAGGTAAAAAAAATGCGTTATTTGTATGTATAAGTCAACTTGTACGGTGCGTTTTAGGTTTGACTCTTGTGATACTTCTCCTAGGTGCTATTATATTGATAATATACCGCTTCCGGAACAGGAAATTCTTCCGGAGCCCCAACTCCTCAAATATAGGTTTCCCCAGCAATACTCTGCCCCACCTCCAACCGGAATCCGTTTACGGTAAGTTTACGCCGAGTCAATAGCATATTTACTGATACGGTCTCTTTCTAGGAATGAGCGAGAAAGGGAGTTCCATCGAAGCTTACGGCGTCACGGAAATCGACGATTACAGGAGGAGCCACGGCACGATTAAGTCCAGCCTGAGGTCCACGTTGCCGCTCCCCCAGCCGTGCGACATGTCGGAGAACAACGAATATCAGGAGCCATATCAAGCCATGCGGTACGCGCCCTACTACAGCTACAGTTCCGTTGTAATGGAGATGCAGGACGTGATGCCAAACAGTATTAAGAAGTACCCGTTTCCGCAAGGTAGGTATTGATTTTTTTTTGTTTTTTGCCCATTTGACACTACGATTCACAGACTAAACGCAGTGCTTTGAAGAAATCGTAACAATATTTCAAATCTAACCGAACGTCTTGAGATTTTTCCTCGTGACGTTTCACGTTTTTATTTTAAGATGCGTATGACTATGCGGTGCCCGAGGCCGGCACTCTGCCGCTGTTGTCGGTGTCGGAGCAGAACACGTTACCGATCGCCCGCAGCAGGATGAGCAGCGTATCCTCGAAGGGACCAAGGATATCGTTGCGGAGTACTCACAGCGAAGGGAGAGAAGGGAAAAGAGTAGGTGTTGTACCTGATATAGCGATTTCAACTGAGTTTTTCGTGATTTTTTTTTAGTCTCCGACACAGCAGGAGGCGCTGACGGCGTTGAAGAAACGCCTGGAGCAGACCACCATATTGGAATTTCCCAGGCATAGGCTGAGGATGCTGTCGAAACTGTCCGAGGGGGCTTTTGGAACTGTAAGTGGGATTTCGCCTGAAAATAGGGTACTCTTTTTAAGTAGTCGTAATGGGGGACTTTTTTTTTTAGGTTTACATTGCGGAAGCTGACGGGATTGCAGAATATTCCTCGACGTTGTCTCTAGGCACAAGATTAGTCGCGATTAAATTTTTAGGGGAATCTGCTGCGGAAAAAGAAAAGTAAGTACATAATTTTGCCATTGCATACATTTTAATAATAACTGGTCCTAGTTTTTTTATTCTCACTGTATATTTCTGCTTTGTTCCTTTTTCGAGGTAATTTTCCATCCAGCGACAAAACCGTAGTCAGTAGAGTAATAGATAAATCAAACCATAATTTTTACTTCTTGTCAACCTGATAATTTTATACAGGGTATAGCAAAAGTACCAGAACGGCAGAATAACTCGGCGGGAGAGCATTTTAGAGAAAAATGTTAAAAGTTTCAGGATTTGAAGATCATTTCAAGGTCAACATTTTTCTCTAAAATGCTCTCCCACCGAGTTATTCTGCCGTTCCTGTACTTTTGTTAGTTTGACCTTGTGGGGGCCCCAAGGTCAAAAGGGAGGGGCCACTCAAGGTCATATCTGAACGTAAAATTTTCAGCTCTTTTTATTTTTGGGGTCAAAAGTATAGGGTCCCATTTGAAAAATCACATTTGACCTTGAAATGATCTTCAGGGTTAATGTCAAGGTCACCATCGGATAGCCCGGGAGAAATCCTGAAAGTTTTGTATTTAACATTTTTCTCTAAAAAGCTCTGCCGTTAATTTATTCTGCCGTTCCAGTACTTTTGTTAGTTTGACCTTGTGGGGGCCCCAAGGTCAAAAGGGAGGGGTCACTCAAGGTGATATCTGAACGTAACATTTTCCGCTCTTTATTTTTGGGGTCAAAATTATAGGGTCCCATTTGAAAAATCACATTTGACCTTGAAATGATCTTCAAGGTCACCATCGGATAGCCCGGGAGAAATCCTGAAAGTTTTGTATTTAACATTTTTCTCTAAAAAGCTCTGTCGTTAATTTATTCTGCCGTTCCTGTACTTTTGTTAGTTTGACCTTGTGGGGGCTCCAAGGTCAAAAGGGAGGGGTCACTCAAGGTCATATCTAAACGTAAAATTTTCCGCTCCTTTCATTTTTGGGGACAAAAGTATAGGGTCCCATTTGAAAAATCACATTTGACCATCTTCAAGGTCAAAGTCTATGTCAAGGTCACCATCGTATAGTCCGGGAGAAATCCCGAAACAAATGCTCTCCCGCCGAGTTATTCTACTGTTCCGGTACTTTTCCTATACCCTGTATATTCTTTGCATGGAAATCGTAATGTACCCTTCATTTCGCATAGTGTTCCAGTGATATGTTCTATTTATTACACCTAAAAAGATGACTGAGGTGTATGGTTTGACTTCTTGCAATCCCACAAAGCCTCAAGCTTTTAGCACGCTATAATAGGATCATATTCGATGCAAAGTAATAAATCATTGCCTGTCAAGGGATCCAGTGCAATACGCTTTTAAGGGGTTTACAAATTGAACAATTTTTTTCATTTCAATTTAATTTTAAATTTGAAATGGTTCATCTTATGCCTCCTAAAAATGATGACACGATTTTTCCTTTGATAAAAGACCGACAATTTTTCGCTCTACGCTGCACCGAATACGATCTTACTATAGCATCTAATACTTCGATTATTGTATTTCAGGAAGGACTTCTATCGAGACGTCCGAATCCTAGCGGCGCTCGAGGACCACAACATCGCCCGGGTGCTGGGCATCTGCAGCCAGGACGAGCCCCTGTGCGTTGTGATGGAGTACCTGGACCACGGCGACCTCTGCCAGTTCCTCAAGACCCACGTCGCCGCCGACACCAACACCAACCTCCCTTACGGCGTGAAATCCCTCTCGTTCGACTGCCTCCTCTACATGGGGGTGCAGATAGCCTCGGGGATGAAGTACCTCGAGTCGCTCAACTTCGTACACCGAGACCTGGCCACCAGGAACTGCCTGATAGGGAAGGGCTACCAGATCAAGATCTGCGACTTCGGCACTTACAACGAACTCTACGTAAACGACTATTACAAGGTGGACGGCAACACCCCATTGCCGATCAGGTGGATGGCGTGGGAGAGCGTGTACCAGGCGAGGTACACCACAAAGAGCGACGTCTGGGCCTTCGCCGTTACCCTGTGGGAGATCCTGACACTCTGCCGGAGGCAGCCCTTCGACTGTCTCACCGATCCGGAGGTGATGGAGAATCTAGCGAGGCTGCATTGCGACGACGGGCAGTTCAAGTACCTGCCGCGGCCTTCGGCCCACAAGGACATATACGACATCATGATGGAGTGCTGGAGACGACGGGACGGCGACAGGCCGACGTTCCGCGAGATACACCTCTTCCTGCAGAGGAAGAACCTAGGCTACGCGCCCGTGTAGCTCGGGAAGACTGGTTAGGTATTTTAGAGGGATCAACAACTTTGTAAATAGAACACAGGGTGATACTATGTATTTTTTTAGTTAGTCGAGTTTAGGTTATTTATTTCGTCGGAGCCTTCGGTCTTCTGAAGACCCGCGGGTTTATTTATTCGGAGGGGGACCGGCGGAAAACCGCAGTCGAGCCGTTTAAAAATCAACATAAAAATCGATTTGTTGCTCTTGTACTGATAAAAATAAAATTTCTTTTTTAAAAGCATTATTAATTTTTGTTTTTTTATTACAAACAGTACTTTTTCGGTTACACATAAGAATTAAATTGTTTCAGAGGAAAAATGGATTCCACGAATTTTATGTTAATTACCAACCGTGTAAGTTTGGTTGCCTAACTTTTGCAGTTACATGAATCTCGAATAATTTTAAGAGGATTCTATAGCAAATAGGCAACCAGTAATACATTTTTATAGATTTTATTACACAGTTTGTCTAAATATGAATTAGTGCACGAATAACAGACTTTCCTCCATTCTAACACAGATTTTCTATAAAGTGAAGTTAGTTCGAAACTCATATTACTTTTTGGTGTAAAGAAATTTGAAATTTGCAATATAGTCCAATCAATAGGTAGAAGAGCTTACAAAAAATACCACCTGGAAACAAAGAATATGGTGTTATAGGAAAAAAAATTCTGAGAAAGACAGTGTATTTTTCCTGTGGCACGTAAACGGCGAAGTTAACCTAAAAAATTCATAAAAGTCAAAAAAACGCTAATAAAAAAAAACTTGAAGTGCAATCGAAAAAAGTTAAATGAGAAAGTTGTAGCTATTAAAAAAACCTATCGATTTGTATTTTTAAATATATCGATTGCTGCATTACTTTTCGAGATATATTGAAAAAAAACGTCAAAAATCGACTTTTTGTTTTTGCTGTATCTCTTGCAAATTAAGGTTTTGAAACTTGTTACTTGCTGTAAATGGAGCCCTCGGCAAGCAAAAAAGTACCTTTTTTAAAATTAAAAATTATTAAAAATTTTTCAAGTTATATATTTTTTTCGAAAAAAAAGGTCATCTTGAAAATTGGCTCTTCTTGCTCGACGAATAGTCGTAGAGAAACGAATCAGGGCTAATTTTTTTCTTAAGGGTTGTACTTTCATGGTAAAAAAGAGTGATAACGATTTTATTCATTTCAACTTTGAAAAAGTAAAAAATTTTTGCTCGCGTTTTTCTAGAATATCTTTTTCGATTTACATTTCTCGATAATGTCTATTACAGGAATTGATTGCTGGCATTTTTACGCGAATTTAAAAAAAAAAACGCTTCTCTACGAAAAAATACTGCATTTTTTTATTGAAAATATAAGTCTTCAAGTTCAATCTCTGTAAGAATGGACGTTGTAGCACTTAAATAGCGGCCTGTAGAATTTTTTGAAAAGAAAAATTATCTCGGCTCCAGGTCGTAGAGCAACGTTTAAAAAAAAAAAATTCGCGGAAAAATGCCAGCAATCGATTCCTGTAATAGACATTATCGAGAAATGTAAATTGAAAAAGATATTCAAGAAAAACTCGAACAAAAAATTTTTACTTTTTCAAAGTTGAAATGAATAAAATCGTTATCACTCTTTTTTACCATGAAAGTACAACTCTTAAGAAAAAAATGAGCCCTGATTCGTTTCTCTACGACTATTCGTCGAGCAAGAAGAGCCAATTTTCAAGATGACCTTTTTTTCGAAAAAAATATATAACTTGAAAAATTTTTAATATTTTTTAATTTTAAAAAAGGTACTTTTTTTGCTTGCCGAGGGCTACATTTACAGCAAGTAACAAGTTTCAAAACCTTAATTTGCAAGCAAAAACTAAAAAAGTCGAAAAGTAATATGGCAATCGATACATTTAAAAATACGAATCAATATGTTTTTTTAATAGATACAACTTTCTCATTTAAATTTTTTCGATTGCCGTTCAAGTTTTTTTTCTATTAGCAAAAAACCGTTTTTTTACTTATATGAATTTTTTAGGTTAACTTTGCCGTTTATGCGCCACAGGAAAAATACACGACCTTTCTTAGAATTTTTTTTCCTATATCACCATATTTTGTTTCCAGGTGGTATTTTTTTGTAAATTTAACGAAAGACCTTGACAGATTAACTGGACTAATAACCGCTTGTTCAAAAGCAGCAAATTACAAATTTCTGTCTGTTATTTATGCATTAATTCATATTTAGACAAACTGTGTAATAAAATGTATGAAAATGTATTGCTGGTTGCCTGTTTGCTATAGAGCCCTCTTAAGTTAAAAAAAATAAACGTTAATATAATTTTTCAAAAATCGAAGTAGGCTTACTATTTGTAATTTTGAAATTACAGCTTTCGAATATTTAAAAGGCCCCATAGCAAATAGGCAACCAGCAATACAGTTTTATAGATTTCATTACACAGTTTGTCTAAATATGAATTAATGCACAAATAACAGACTTTCCCCCATTCTAACGCATATTGTCTATAAAATGGAGTTAGTTTGAAACACAAATTACTTTTTGTTGTAAAGAAATTTGTAATTTGCCGCTTTTGAACATCGTAAATTACAAAGTTCTTTACACCAAAAAGTTATTTGAGTATCAAACTAACTCCACTTTATAAAAAATCTGCGTTAGAATGGAGGAAAACCTGTTATTTGTGCATTAATTCATATTTAGACAAACTGTGTAATAAAACCTTTAAAAATGTATTGCTGGTTGCCTATTCGCTATAGAACCCTCTTACAATTCCGTAACTTTGGTCTTTCTTTTACAATTTCTGACTGGCCGACCTGAAGTTTCCACCAGTTCTCCCTTTAATAACTTTCAAAGTAGCTAGTTATAGGTAACCTTCACCTGCGGACCCCGCACCTCTATACGTACACCCTTGTTTCAGTACTCACGTTTCCGACGCGGTCCGCGGGTGGAAAGTCGTTAGTTAGATAAGAGGTGGCTTATTTGCTTTAACCATTTGTTAAAAATTTTTCACAAGGCACAATAATTCGAGACAATGTCTAGATTTTAATCTAAGAGTAATATCAATGTTATATTTACTAGTCAATTGGGACGCCTATGTAAAAAATACTTTTCAACGAGGAAAATGTGACTTTCGGAGCTTAGATAAAAAGATTATTTAGAGTGTATTCTAAACGACTAAACTAAAGATACTCCACGTAAGGCCTGCTAAAAGTAGAAATGCGAGTTTCTTTCTTACTCCGAGTTCTAACCGAAAATAAATTTATCCTGGTTCGAAGGACCAATATATGAAGAAGAAATAGAAACGAATACAGAATCACTTTGTTGTAGTGACTGATAACTACTTTTAGTAGGTTTTACGTAACGCTTAACACAGAAACTCGTACCCGTAGAGATATTTTCTTAGTTACCACTGTCTTTTTGATAAAAGAGGAAAACTAGTTTCTCCCAACTTGTTTTTTATACTCACAAAGGATATGCTCGACAATGTACAATGTTATATGTATATTTTTTAAAGCAATGTTATTATTTTTATTAATGTACGATAATAATTATATTTTTTATGTGCCAACGAGCTTCACTGATGATAATCGTAGATATCACAATGTATATTTTTTTTTTAATAAAGGTGTGTAAATTTCTTTCAAGTTCGGTTACTGTGGAAAAAGGATGGTTCGTTTCGCACTTCTTAGGACTCATCAGTAACACGTGTTTTAGTTTTTTACCAGTTAGTTAAGAACCCTTATACGCATTATGTATTTATAAGATTTGCTTACTATATGTGTTCACGAAACACAACGTACACTAAATAAAATCACTTTTTTTCTTACCCACTGACCTTCCGCTAGCAGTTCTGTACTGTGTTTTGAGGCAACTTAACGAACGTATGAAATTAAGGCTGTTCTGTATATTTTCGCTTATTATTCACGATGTAAGTGTTTGAGCCCTACTTGTTATTGTTTTTGAAAATTTTTATACTTAATCGTACTTGACTAAAATCTAACGCAACACCCTGAACATTCCAGATAAATGTAAGTGGCACAAAGATTTTACCATTAATTACGGTTAATAGTTGCAATAATGATTTTGTGATTTAGTTGTTGTGCATTTAAATTTCTGCAAATAATTGTCAAGTAACATATCAATTATTCAATAAACGATTATAAAAAATGGTTTTGCTTTATTAGCTCTCCTCCCACTTCAAAGTCTTTCTTTCGTTCATCCCTATTAGTTTCTATAACAAAAGAATCAATGGAATTTAGAACTAAATTTAATATTAAGTCACATTTTCAGTTATTTTATTCAAATTTCTGGTTATTTGAAATTCGTCCTTGAATACGAAAAGAACGAACCTAACACTTACACTTTGGTGCAAGAACAAATTAACAAACCTTGACGCACCATCTAGTAAACAGCGAACGTACTCCGTCTAGAGCTAATTTCAAACGGAGGGTTTTAACCTCACTTTTATACGCGGACGCAGTTTTATTACTGCAATTTCAGATGATTCATCAGTTAAACTATGATTAACTAAGGTAATTTCCGAATCGGTATAATCGAAACTGCTTTTGCGAACAGTTCCTCTTTAGTAATTCCCTTTTCTTCGAATCTGAGAGGTCGATGACAGAGCAATCTCACAGAAGAAATGTCAACTTCTTTAGTCAAAATCACAAATGGTTGCGGTGTGTTTACAATTTGATAGTATGTGATAAATAGTGTAAAATTTCGAGGATATTAATTGGATATATATAAAATAGTAAGTACCTTCTTATTTATCAATGAAAAAGCACTTGTTATCATAAAGGTATCCGCTCAACTGATCGCTGGAAGGTTTTTGCACTTGAAAGTAAGTACCTTTATTGTTAAAATGTATCATTCAAGCAGATTGTTTTTAAGATTAACCGATGTTTTATGATAACAGTGACTTATTAAAATGATTCTAGGTACTTTCCCATAGCCGTAACTTCATAAATATATCATGATTCACCGTTGACATTTACAAGTGCGCAAGGAAGTGGTTTTTGGTAATAATTATCACGACCGTTTCTGACCGTTTTCTTTATTTATGGACTATTAATGAATACACCTTCCTTGTGACAAGATTAGAAATCAATAGTGCACTTAATATAAGCCGAAACATGCATTCAGGACGTGAGTAGGTTACTTCGCCGCCTACAGGGTGTTATATTCTACCGATTCGCCTCGTGCAAGCAGACAATTTTATGTTAATTGTTTTGAGGGCATCGTACACCACATGTTTACGTTTCTTATGTGATTTTTCCGGTTGTGATCATAACGTTTGCGATGTATTTTTTTACAGTTATTAAAGCGGTTAAGAGCAGCTGCAATTGTCCGATATTGTGTGTCTCTGAATGCTGTGCTGTTTATGTAACATTAATTTCTAATTTTCTGCATTTTGTTCTACTTTTTGAATGGTTTCCGTCTTACATTGTATGTCTATTTTGTGGCCAAATCCGGAACAGATGTCGGCACAAGCAAGTTTACTCTATTGTCTATCCATTTATTCCTTATTGCATCTTTATTAAATAGCGACTGGTTTACCTACCTCGAATTTATTGTTAAAAATGTACAAAGTGTTTTACAATCGAGTCCACAACCAGATCTTGTGAAATGTTTAAGGCCTACAAATTTTTTTATATGCTGAAACACTTGTAGATTATTATAAAACTTTAAATTAATTTTTGGTTCGCGAAATGACCTGTAAAATTCGCAAGGTCTAATAATTTATAAATGAATGCGATTAAATATAACTTGTCCTTGGCGGACCTTGACCACATATTAACGATTTTTTTTCCGACACCAGCGCAGGCAGCATCAACACATTTAGCTAACAAATACTGTACCAACAGTAAAAGTGTTTTATTACATTATGATGTCACCATGTATCTACATTTTTTGCTTGAATTACTTACGCACAACAACAGTCGGCTAAATATTTTTCATCTACATCAGTTGCGTTTCGTTTTAAATTTTTGGCTTGTTCACGTAGCACGTGCCTAGGTAGCACTGTTCCGAATTGTATCATTTGTGAATAAAAGATATATTGATATTTTTTTGTTACGTTTATGTAAATTTCTTCCTTCGTGGTTACTAACCATGTCCTACACAGAATTTTGACCCCAGTGAGTCAAGTATTATTCTGACTTTATTTCGGCAATTATTTTACGGTTATAATGTATCAGATTGATACCAGATTTAGACAACTTGTAAAGGATTTATCGATAAGCTTTCGACAGGTGTTTAACTTGCTAAATATCAACTTTTTGTTGTGATTAAAAATTCAGAAAAAGCGAATAGATAGGTTTTTCTAAATAATTATTAAGTACAGTAAAACTTCAAATTTGAGGCACTTATATATTATTTGCATTTCAAATTATAAACTTACGTAAGTTTCATCTGTTAAGTCAAAAACAGGTGTAATTTTAAGTATTCTATCCAGTAACGGTTCTGAAATTCTGATTTATTGTTATTAATCTTAAATGGTACTAAAAGCAACACGAACGCGAGAATATATTTTGATCATCTTATTGCGAAATATACTAATTTGTGGAATAAAATCATTGGCGTTAACAGATGTTTTTTATTTGGTATAACGTAGTACAAACTCTCCTTTTTCGGTATTTTATCAGTTATTATGGAATCAATCTGTTGTTAAAAGGAACTCTCAAAGAGTTAGATAGAGGTCAAGTAGGTTCAGATGCAGAGAACGTAAGGGCATGGTGTTTTATCATGAACTGTCTTCAGAGTTATTATCTTTATGAGCAGCTCTCATTTTTATATTCCTTTATATTTATTTCAGGTCACCCTAGTAGTAGGAAAACAATTTTGACTAAAAATTGCGCAAATTCTCAAAGTTCAACGACTGATAATGTATGTTATAAATCAGTATTTTTTTTTATTTCGATGAACGACTACTTTTTTTTCAATAATCAGTTTAAATATGAAAGGAAACACATTATATTTTATGCATGATCTTTTGTGTTAATGTAATGACCAATCAACGTGATTAAAAGTCTTCTGCTGCTACTTTTTTGTTTTAATTACCAGTGAAATTGCTTAGAAAGCAGTGTGGTATGTTGTCCGCTCTTATCTAACTTTTAAATATAAGTAATTGATTAATATTTAATGCAGCTACAGCTCTATAGAAAGTTTGTACTGACGAGACCTTTCCAAAGATTTTCCGGTTTGTTGTCAACTTTTCAAGGAAAACAGTCTCGTTATTCCTTTAATTTCATTATTTTAAATATATTCATTTCAAATGCGTTTATATGTATTTGTGGCAAACTATAACAGATTTCCGGTAAATTCTTAACAAAACACAAATATATCACTAGAAATTGGACTACACCGTTTATACATGAAAACCTTTTATATTTGGGTGATACAATTTTGTAGGATTGTTTCGTTCTGGCCTTTTCGTTTCGTGAGGCAGTTGCTAATAAGATAAAATTAGTGAATACGTAGCGCTGCGAAAGAGACGATCGATATAATAAACACGAAGGTTGTCGTTCAATCTCAAGGGAAAGTACAATTCCCTGATGATTTCCACAGTACAAAACAAATAGGTACCTACTTAAAAACAACTAATTCGAGAGGAATACTAAGTAAAAATATCTTTCAATAAGAATAAAATTGTGAATCATTGCAATGTTCCTAAAAAAGATTTTTTTTTTAATATTTACTTGTAATTAATTTGTTTTCTCTTGGAATTTCTCTTTGTTTTGTGATGTATAGTAGATTCCAGGGAATATTGAATAGAATATCTAGACTACCTATCTAGCCAAGACAGTTACTTGAAAAAAACAATTTTTTCTTTGTCAACTTTGATGCCTTGTAAAGAATCCACACCTAGCGGCAGAAATATCTGACACCGATAAATTTTTACGTAGCGTGGTTATTAAACTCGATATTATTTCTGTATCGAAAATATTTTGTTTGCAAGGTAGTCAACTATCGAAGGATGTGTACGTATTGCATTTAGCAATATGAATTCGCTGTACAATGAACAGTTGATTGTCCTATATCCAGTATTTAGTTACTAATAATAGAACACGCATAATAATTTATGTTTTCCAAAGTTTCCATCCAGGTATGAGATAGTTGTATATTACCAAGATTAGAAATATTGTTATCGTTTCTTGAAACCAAAGATGTAATCTTTGATAGCATCATGTAGTGGCCTTAGTTTATTATTAGCGATATTATAGACCACTTAACCTGAAAACACCTTCAATATTCATCCTTCCCTACAGAAATCCGTCCGTACAGCCCATCTGTCGAGTCCGAGTCGCGCAATCTTCGCCCCTCGCGCTCTTACCGAGACACCAAGTTGGCCGGGCATCGATTGTACGCTCTGTGGCGAGATTACGGTACACCGGACTACCAGAGGAGCCTTCCAGCTCTTCCTCGACGGATCCATCGGGCTGCTAGTTCCGTATCAGAGCGCTTGCGGTGTGCCTTACGGATTTCTCCAGCTACCGTGCGGTGTACATGTGTGTGGGTGGCGGTTATTATGAAATGCAACAGTTCACGATGAAGCATGGTTGTGGTGACCCACACGGATATCGGCATACCCGTGACGTATAACAAGGACCTGTTTAGGGGAAGGTCAGTTATAGCTGGTGCAAATATATTTTTTGTAATGCGTTATTTTAGTAGTTTTGTGTATTTCACTTTTATAAAAAACTGTCAGCGCAACAAAACCTTTAGAAAATTTGTAGAAAATGCAGGAAAAAATATAACGTGTAGTTGAATTGGATTTTGAGGATTTGGGCATTTTGTAATAGGAGGAAACATAGATGCCCTTAATTCCGCAAACCAAACTTTACCTAAATTCTGCATAAACATGGTTTGGGAAAGCTTAGTAATGTATTAAAAAAAATAAACAAAAATCCACTCAAGAAAAAGGGGAACCAATGTAAAATTATGCCTCATCGTTCCTGGTGAGGCATTTTCCATATAGTTAAGCATTCAGCTTTAAAATTTTGACTGTCTTATATCAAAATTGTCTCTCACGTTTTTTTTTTATTTAAAACTGTCCATTTTTGAAAACAAAATAAGTGATTTAAATTTTGTAAGGGCCAGTGTTTTGAGTATCGGTTAAAACGTGATTAACAAATCGGGCAGTTTGACTGTGAACTAACTTGATTGCTGTAGAGGGTGTCCTAAAAAGACGCAGATAAAAATTGTGAAATGTCGAGCAATCAAATGCTTGACTTTGACTTTAAGTGAAACACCCCTTTTATACCGGTAATAGATCACCAAATTTTAGGTCTGAAAATGAGGTTAGTCGAGGTCAAAGTCATGTTTCTCTGAAAAACTCGACAAAAATGTTTCATAAAAAATTTGTAGGATTGTGAGAGATTGTGAGATGAAATTTTAGGTCTGAAAATGGGGTTAGTCGAAGTCAAAGTAATGTTTCTCTGAAAAACTCGACAAAAATGTTTCATGGAAAATTTGTAATAACTGTTTTACATTGACAATTTATTCATGAATAAATTGACGAAGTTCTTCATGAATTAAGTCACGAATTTATTGGCAAACAGTGCGGTTTTACACTGCTACAGGCTTTGTCAAGTTTTTTGACGTATGCATCAGTTCTACCAACGAATCAAAGAAGCAAATAAATTTCAAAAATGTTACCTTTCCCCTTATAATTGTAATGATACGACAGCGGTACCGTTTTGACACATATTATATAAATATTAGTTTTTGTAAGTAACAAATCAGTAAAAC